TGGAGTACCTTCTGGGGAGTCTCTATTTGGCACCTTTGGAAATGGAGGAATAATTTTATCTTCAAATCTAACTTTATAAAACCCAAAGACCCGGTTTCATACTTGCTAGCTGTCTAAAAATCCTTTTCTTATCATCATTTTCAAAACAGTGAAGATGAAGATACACAAAACATCTACCTGGCTCCTCCTCCTCTGGGGTTCTTTAAACTCAATGTTGATGGTGCTGTCTCCCTGTCTAATTCAAATGCGGGATATGGAGGAGTCCTTCGTGATCACTTAGGTACTTGGGTTGCAGGATTAACCTTCCAATTGGGTCATTGTACTCCTCTTGAGGCTGAAGCTTAGGGCTGTCTTAAAGGCCTCCAAATTGCTTAGGATATGGGCTTCAAAAACGTTATTTTAGAATCTGATTGCAAAACTCTTTTGACCATCTTGAGCTCTTATCCTGACATCTCCTCCAATTACAGCCTTGTCTTCTTAGAGATTGTCAAGATGCTGAAATTCAATTGGCAGATCAAGTTGAACCATATTTCAAGGCTTCAAAACCAAGTTGCTGATAGTTTAGCAAAAGAGGCACTTAAAGTCTCTTCCTTTTTCGATAATGTTCCTTTATTTCTAAAGGACCTTGTGCTTAATGATTGTATGGGATTTCAATCCCCCCTTTTTTACTTAGTTAATTAATTCCCTTGGACTTTGCCCTCTTTTCTACCAAAGAAACAATTATAGATGGAGCCATGGAAGAATGAGTTTTAAGGGCGGCAGTGAATTACAAATGGCTTTTCTACCCTGCAGTGGCTTCTACTTTTTCACCCAGAACCATTTGGTTCAACCGCACGAGCCTTCCTCCTTGAAACAAGGAGTAGTGGCTAATCTTTTGGATGCAAGGAACAGAAAAATTAGCCACATCATTAAAATTGTTTAGAAATTGCAATGAGTTCGATCTTTATTTCTAATAAATACTATAAATTTGATAAGCATATTCTCTATTCTTTTATTGAAATTGAGGAGATGTATTTGGAAAAATAATTAATATCACATAAATTGTCAAATAATTTATATGTTCAGAATAATCAAAACTTTCTAAACCTGCTTATATAAAGAACCAGAAGAGAAGCATTACGGCGGGTACATGTTTTGCAAAATTTGCATAGGACGATGTCAAACTCCTCATTAATGGCAAGGAATTTGTCTCCCTCTTCCATCAAGAGCTGTGTGTTTCAAGGCATTTTAATTCGATACCTGGATTCATTTGTTGACTTGAATGGTACCCCATGAATCATGAGCCACACAGAAAATCAGCAATAAATACAAAATTAACTCCTCACATAATCATGGCGGACCAAAAAAAAAAAAAAACCGAAGATCTCAACATAAGTAAGCTCTAAAACGTGCTACTCCCAACACTTTGTAAAGGCTAGGATGTAAATTGCTCTACAATTTATTTCCACGAACGCTATCCGTTGCTGGGAAGTGGGGACCCCATAATTTAATACACAGTTGAGCCTATGTCGTCGATTTGGACGTATTTAAATTGAGTTTCTCCCCTTAACCACACGAGTATCTATCTATACAGTATACACTATGCACGCAAACCTCCAAAATTAACAGTCGTATCCAACAAACAAACGAGCAAGGACCAAACACGAGCCTTTCGCTATTCACCCATTCCGTGGGCCCCGCCCTTATGGTCTTTCAAGATTCAATCCCCCAACTCTGCCCCACACGTTTTGACCAAGACCTCCCACAACCGTTGGATCTCTCCGAGAACATCATCGGACGGTAGCCGGAACCTGCAGCAAGGACACGTATTCCTTTTACTCAACCACGGTAATATGCAGTTCCAATGAAACACGTGCTGACATGGCAGTTCGCACACATCCCTCCCCACTCTCATCTCCTCTTTGCAAATCACGCACTCCCTTCCACCCGCTCTAACCTCCACTCGCGGCAGCGCCACCACGGCCGCCCTCGACGCCGCCACTTCCCTGCCACCCTTTCCTCCGCCGCAATCCATCGAACCCACCAGCCTCCGGCACCGGATTACCATCTCAATATAGGGAATCAGAATCGCGGCACTGCATTCCCCGATAAAAGTAGAAGACATCCCCAACAATTTTTCGGAGAAGAGCCTGCTCAGATTTCTGCGCCAATCGCAGACTGGCGTTTCGAGAGCTTGCGGGTGGTGCTGGTGGGCATCGCAGAATAAGAGGAGCAGCAGAACGGCGTCGAGGTCACGCTGTCTCGTGAGGGCAGATAATGGAGGCGGCGGCGGTTTGAGGTGGCGCGTGAGGATGTGGAGGGAAGAGAGGAGGTGGCGGCCAATGAGGAGGGACTTTTGGGGAAGGGAGAGAGAGTGGAGGTAATGGAGAGCGAGGGAGAAGAGGGATTGGGAAGAGAGGATGGAGGCGAGGCGGAGGTGGTGGTGGTGGACGACGGAGGCGATGGAGTGGATGAGATCGGAGAGGTGAGGAGGAGGGAGGGCGGAGAGTGCAGCCAATATGGTTGCGGTTTCTTCCATTATGGCTTATGGGATCATGTGCTTCTGCTTTGGCTTTTTGGACGGTTTGCTTATGACTATTGTGTGCCGTCTTTGGAATTATAATGAAATGCCTGATGCTGGATAGTATTGACCATTGTGTCCTTTACAGTTTACATCCTTTTTATTTTATTTTCTTTTTTAATTTTATTAGAGAGAGAGAGAGAGAGAAGGAAAGTGTTTGAGAATCCTTTTTAGTCGGTGGGTGGAAGCCAAACATGTTTCTACTTTTTGGATATCACAATCGCGGGTGCTAGACTTTTTCGAAGAGTTTACAATTCAGCTAAATTTGTCAATCTTTATTCTTTAGCTTCCTCTCTGTGAGATGAAACGAAGAAGACATGATTCGTGGGATTGAGGATCGGTTCAAGGTTTAGCAGTGTTTAGGGTCTGGGACCGATAGAATAGAGCATTGACATCGTGGATTTGCATGATGTTTCATTTCCTGAAAATCACAATGGATTGCCTATTAACAATGAGTGACAACGGGGGTTAAACAGTAACTTTCTTTCCTCGCGAGGGCAGAAGACATGTTGCAGGAAGTGAACGCTTGACAGTGGCGTGACACACTGACACTTGTGGTGGTTGAGATAGGTCACAACGCCGTGGCATTTGTCCACCATGCAAATGTCTTGTTCCCCTCTCATAAATTATTACTTATTAAATTAAATATTTATTAAAAATTATTTTTTATATTTTTTATTTTGATAGATAATAAATCTTCTGAGTAAAGTTTGGCACCGGGCATGGCTGAAATAGTAATTTGCAATTGCATCATGTCCAGTTATACGAGTGGAAAAATATGTCACGCCCCTGTGCTAAAAGTCAGGAAGGAAAGCTACAAGCAAAATGTGATGCTCCTAGAACATAGTCGAGGATGTTGTTTGGGCCTCTCTGCTTTTTTTTTAAAAGCACCGTGGGAGCAGGTTAAGTCTCCAAACGTCCCACATTGCAAAAACGACCAGAGGGTAATATCAATCCAGCAGATCAATCAAGTATCAAACTCATACTATTATCCTGCCTAAGATTCCAAAACAGAAACTGTACAACTTTTCCCAAAATGGATTCTTCCAATACATCTACTTCATTTTCTGTGGTATATGAAATTTAATCTTGTAAAAATAAAGTCACTGGGATGCTTGCCAATTAACCCATTATCTTATTTAGAACGAATTAAATATTTTATTCGAATCACGTGATTTTGATAGCGAAGGGAACGAGGAAGTCGAGCTGAATATCATTAGTTCCTTACACGCACAGGCTTATTGAGTTTGGTGACCTGTATTTTCTTGTTTTTCCTATATTTAGTGGAAGCTTTGCACAGGAAATTATGGTTCTGATGATAATAAGATGATGAATTAATACAAGGCGTGGTGGGGTGAAGCCATGATTAGGAGCTTATAAAGGGCATGGAGGAAAATATGTTGAAGCGGCGTTTATTGGATGCTTTAGCAGCAAGGAAACTACTTTACAGACAAGAATGTGGTAAAGATGAAAGATCTCATAAAAAAAAAGGCGAAAAGAAACCCAAATCTCATCAATTCGGTGACATCAGAGAGAGACCATGTACATGGTGGAGCCGTCTTCGACAGAAAAGAAAGCACTGCAAACCCCTTTTCACAAAATATGCCATCTCTCCTATGCTCTCATCAGTCATCGCCCTCCTATCTCTTTTATTTGCCGTGGAGCGCCAGCATCCTAAGTTTGCGTAATTTGCTATCAGGATGCTTTTGTACAGAGAGGGGTATGTTCCCCTCGACGTCATGCATGCACGCAAGTCAGCTTATTGTACCTTCTTTTTTTTTTCCTGGGTTAGAAATGCAAAAGACTGGGCTGGGAGCAGGACGAATAAAGATATGATCATGTGGGGGGCCAAAACTGAAATTTTATCTAAAATTGTGGGAGGGGAATTGATTTCAAGATGTTTTATAAATAAAAATTTTCTATTTATCAAGGATGGTTTAGGCTAGGAGTTTTTTTTTTTTTTTTTTTGGGGGGGGGGGGGAATGGCCCCTTGGATTCATTAGTGGCTGAGTTATTGTATTTTTATCAACCTTCATATTATTATAGGAAGGCTGCGGAAAATAAGAGGAAGTTGTCACAGATCTTAACTAGCATGTAGTTTTATTATTATTATTATTATTATTAATAGATTTGTTTTTTATTTTAAGGAAAGCAGCAACACGGACATAATGATATGTCGGTCTGAAGCAGGAAGCAGCGTGAGAAGACGTGAGTCTCGAGCCTCAAACTCCGTAGGCCCAAAAACTATTTTGAGAGTTTCCCCTTAATGGAGCCTCTCTGTAATTCTGAAGATATGGAAGAATTTTGTAACGTTGAATGAACCCCGACCACGTAATCAGAATATAATGTGCATCTCCCCACATAATTGGAAACATCCTGCAGAGGTTTTCGACTGAAATTTAATGTGGATTGGAATTTGTACCCCTCTTGAAGGTGAAGAATGGGCAGTATTGCAGGGATTATCATTGGCAGGGAACGTGGGCTTCCAACGGGTTATTTTGGAAAGTGACTGTAAAACATTGACTGACGCAACAACGCATGCTTTCTGCAGTTCGGTCGGCTGGAAATCTTACGCATGAGGAATTTTCAGCGGTCACTTGTGTTTCAATGTGTGCCGAGGCTACTGAATATGGTGGCAGGTCATTTGGCTAAGGAAGCCTTGAATATGATTCAAGACTTTATGCGTCTCTCCCTTTTTACTGAAGGAAATTGTTGACAATGAGTGCTTGGGATGGCAATCCCATTTAATGGCTTTGCCCTTCTTTTGTACCGAAAAAAAAAAAACAAAAACAAAAACTCAGCATTAAGGTGGATCAAACCAAGATCGGAACAACTTAAATTGTACGTTAACAAAAATCTATTATCCAAGTGTCTGCATTAATAGTTCATTAATTTCAACACATACGCGTATTACAAGATCTTTTTAAGCTCCAAACCTTGTTAGAAGTTCAAGAAAAAATAATAAAAGATGTACTGCAAATCAAGCAAAAGCATACCATTGTATTTATTATTTGGATTCAATAACTGTATTTAATACAAGCACTGAGTATCTATATCATTTGAGTCGTCGAAATTTACATTAATAATTCAGATGCACTCACTCATTCATTAATATCAAGTGAAATATAAATTTAAAATATTAATATAAATTTTAACAGTTCAGATAATAAAGGCACTCAGTGTTTAAATTAAATACAATCACCAAATTCAAATCCTTATACTTGTCTATAATTAAACTTTATGAAATTCGGTGCCGCACACATATTAAGTTCGTGCTTCTATTACAATAACTTAAACCAATTTAAGGCCAAGCTTAAAGTTATATGCATTCAATTTATTATTTAGTTAATTAATGTAAATTTTTTTAATATATTCCAATATGATTTATTAGTGTTTTCTTTTTCTCTCTATTTTTTTTTCTTTCATTTTAAGTTCAGCAAAAATTGAGATATAATTCGAATATTCAATAATATGGAGCACATTTCCTCCAAGAAAATATATGGAGCACCTTTTTTTAAAAAAGCAGTTTGATATTGAAATTTTTTGCTGGCAAAAAATTATTTTTTGCTTTTTATGTATTTATTTAATTGTCGTGTTACGACTCGTGGATTATCAATAGCAAGTTTTCCGGATTCAAAAACATTTCAATTTTTGACATTTCTTCTTTTTACTAAAGAAGTTGGCTTTTCTATTTTACAAAAGAGGGTAAAGAAGAAATTATTGCAGATTTGGATCTTTAAATCAAATTTGATAAATTTTCAAAATATACATTTAATTCGAATGAAAGTGGGGCAGAAAAACTCATGGATCCGTCTTCAGCTTGCTGAGTACCATAGTTTTTAACAAATATATTTATCATTAATTTAAATAGTATTGATTTAATTTGAGTAGTTCAATTGAATATTATAATTTTTATAAATTAATTATTTAAATATATTCTAAACAAATCAGATTTAATATTAAATTTTTATTTATAAGGTTTAGATTTAAAGTTTTTATTTTTTTAATTTTATATTTATTAAAATAAAAATTAAAAAAATTAATATTAAATCTGCACTATTCAAAATATATCTAGATACTCAGTTTATGAAAATTATAATTTAATTATTTAGATTTATATTAAATTAATATTATTTAGGTTGATGATAAATGTATTTATTAAAAAATTATAAATTTTATTTTTATATAATCTGGATGGTCCAAATTTTTTTTGAGACATGAGCGCCGAACCCAAAACTCACCAAGTAAATGGTAATCAAAGTGGGGCCGAAAACAGTTAATCAACCCGATCCCGTTTAATAAGATCATTAAAACAGCTAATAAAAAAAGATTAGCAAAACAAATCTGAGAGGGGAAGAAGAACTTTCCACTCCTCCCTATCCTGCCCCTCAATTCTTAAATCCAGGAAAAATCCCACACCTTGCACCTCATCTCCGCCGCTGCCCATCAGTTCGCCGGTCGCTGACGTCCTGCCACCGTCTTTCTCTCCCTGGTAAGGTTCATTGAAAGCTTAACTCCAACTTTCATTGTTCAAGTGTGCTCTGTGAAATTATGGATCTTTTGATGAGAGATTCTGTACCCACTCAATCTCTCTATATGAAAAGGGAAAAGAAGTAATTGGAGGTGCCACGCTTAGCAGGGTGGACAAGGAAAAGGATTAAGGAACATCAGTTCGTAATTGGCGAGTCCTCCCCAAAAGGAGAGAATGATACGTCCCGACAAATTATGTTCATCAGACCTATAAATATTTTATATCTCTATTATGTTTTTACAAGTCAGGCACAACACTTAGATATGTTTAGGGACCCATTTTTACTCGCTACCGAAAAAAAAGAACACTGTGTCACTATAGGGATCTTTTGCCTATCAATATCATTGGTTTTTTAGGGGGTATACCGTGTCTGTATTCTAGAATATGGCAACTCATTGAAATGGAAAGGATAAGAAATCATCTGGCAGCAGATACTCTAGCAACAGAGATGTTTGAGTTACCCTGGTATTGTAATTAGTGGGGTGCATGATTTTTCAGCACTAGTTCTATGTTGACTTACTTCATTGGCTTCAATCGGGGATTGTGGGATGATTCTTTTTCTTCTTGTTCAAAAATGTCTCAAGAAGAATTCTTGTCATGTTTTGCAACCTCTTTCTTTCCTGAGGTCTTTCTCTTCCCACAAATTTGCATTTAGAGGAGAGAAAAACGAGTTAGCTAATGCACTAGGAGTTCTGAGCCTTTTAAACATCAAGACAGGAGGTACAAAGAATCTGCAAAGCCATCTTCGGCTTATTGAGAGCACGCTGGAAAGCAATGCAAAAGCACTTGTTAAGGTTAATCCTGCTGGTGTGCAGGATATGACTGAAATCAGGGATGCAGTCAGCAAAATTGTCCCATCCTCAGACCTGCGGATTGAGAATCTGATTTCTATTCATCTTGATCAGGGAACAAGCAACGGGAGTCGATGCACACCTTTTGTCTCATGCTGTGAGCACATGTGGGTCCAAGCGTGACCTTTTTGGGGGTCTTCAATATCATTGCCTAGCAATAATTACTGGCTATATTGCTAATTTATATGTTGGAAGTTCTTTGGTAAGTTTATACAGTAAATGTGCCTTGTTAGAAGATGCTTATCGGGCCTTTGAAGAAATGCGTATCAGAAATGTGGTGTTATGGACAGCAATTATAGCTGCGTTTGCACAAGAGTCTCACATTGACAAGTGTTTGGAGCTCTTCCATGGTATGAGAAAATCAGCATTGAAGCCTAACGAGTTCACATATACAAGCATTTTGAGTGCTTGTACGGGCAGTGGTGCACTTGGACAGGGGAGAAGTGCTCATTGTCAAATAATTCAAATGGGCTTTTATGCTCATCTCCACATTGACAATGCTCTTGTCAGTATGTATTGCAAATGTGGAGTGATCCAAGATGCCTTGTACATATTTGAACACATGAAAGATAGGGATGTTATCACGTGGAATTCCATGATAGCAGGATATGCACAGCATGGGCACGCAAAAGAGGCTATTGATCTTTTTGAAAAGATGCAATTGCAAGGTGTTAGTCCAGATGCCATAACTTTCCTTGGTGTGTTATCTTCATGTCGGCATGCAGGACTTGTTAAAGAAGGTTGGCTATACTTTAACTTAATGGCTGAACATGGCCTAAACCCAGAATTAGATCATTATTCATGTATTATTGATCTTCTTGGCCGGGCTGGCTTGCTTCTTGAGGCACAAGATTTCATCCAAAACATGCCTGTTTACCCTAATGCTGTAATGTGGGGTTCGCTACTTTCATCCTCTAGGCTTCATGGAAGTGTATGGATTGGCATCCAGGCAGCAGAGAGCAGGTTATTGCTTGAACCGGGCTGCCCTGCAACACTTCTTCAACTGGCCAATTTGTATGCCAGTGCAGGCTGGTGGGATCAAGCAGCACGAGTGCGAAAAATGATGAAAGAGAAGGGGTTGAAAACAAATCCTGGTTATAGTTGGATTGAAATTAAAAATGAAGTCCAGAGATTTGGAGTAGAAGATAAGTCAAACAGTAGAATGGCTGAGATCATTACAGTAATCGGTAGTCTAATAGATCACATGAGAAGTTCAGGCCTTCCACAGATGCCCGAGGAGGAAGATGTTATGTTTTCTTAGAACTAGTTGGTCCTTCTGCATTAGCCTAGATACATCGCAAGGCTTTCTAGTATTTCAAGCATCCCCTATGCTTGCAGGGAAGCAGTGAAGAAAAGATGAATGACTTGATGGGGCTATCAGAATCTAAACTTTCTCCAGATGAGATAATATTACAAACCTGGAATGGCAAGATATCTTGATCTCTCCTTTTCATATCTCTTGGTGCGAATTACTTGTGAGCAAGCATAGCTCTCAGGACTACAGAGAGAAAGGCATTCGCATTTCATGGCAATACCAATTACCAAGTTTCATACGACCTTGTGATCTGTTTTGGTTGTTCGTTTAATTTTGTCCGGAATTGTAATTTATTTCCTCAGTTCATGATCTGAGTTTCAATCTTTCTAAAGCTGCAAGCATATATTGCTTTTTCATATTACTAAGTTTTTTACTCTCTCTGTAGATTTATCAGAAAGAACCTCTGAAATGGACGGTGGAGGAAGCCAGCAAAAATCAGATGCCTCAGCAACAGCAGTTTTTGAGTTACCAGGAGAGCCTGCTATTATAATTAATGGGATGCCTGACATTATCCCTAGTGAAAGCACTCCTGCTTTGCATAAGACTTCGAGCACTGTTGAAGCACCAGTGCATTCAGGTTTAGGTGAATGGTTGGAAGAAGAGAAGTTCTAAAGCTGTTTATGGGGCGGTATTATTCGGGTGTAGTGCTGCAATTTGACAAACAAACTGGATGGTTCAGGGTTCTTTATGAGGATGGTGACTCTGAAGATCTTGATTGGCAGGAGTTGGAAGAGATTCTCCTTTTGGACGTTACAATTCCACTCAAATCGTTGGCACAGAGGATTGTTTATCGAAAATACAAGAAACCTATTCATAAGTCCGGAAAGATTGTGTCTAATTCACAAAAACCCTGAGGTCAAACGCACTCCCAGTAAAGGAAAGATGACCACACTACTATAACGGGGAGGATCGTAGTTTGTTGAGAGGGACCGTTAAACTATGGTTTATTACAAGAGCAAGTTAGCTTCTAAAAATGAAAAGCTTCCGACGGTGTTCTGTAGGAAAGAATGTGATCGGGGGATTTGTCCCAGATTTTGACGTTTTCTCTAGGTGTGTTGTACTCTAGTTAGTTGCTGAGTTGCAGCGTGTTCAGCTGCATCAAGAAGAAATATTACTTTTTAGCTGTGCATAGTTGTTCGTTGCTACAAAACCATGATGTTTCCAGATTCGTTATGTAATGCTTTTCTACATTTTCATATGTCTGTTATTTCTTTCATCTCTTTCTTCTCCCATTAGTTTCGCAATTTTTTCTCGGAATGTTCTCGTGATTGGAGGCGTTTATGAGAATAAACGTGTTATGGGTTGAAAAATGTATGTTTACAAACTTGATTTTATATCCCAAGTAATGCAAGGGAATATTAACTCTCAAATTAGATAAAATAAAATGGAGGGAAAAGATTTTAATCAATTGAATTTCTAAAAAAAGATTTTAATCAAGTGAATTCCTAAGGTCTTTTACCACAAATTTTCCAAACAAGTGTTTAAAAATAAAGAAAATAAAGGAATAAAATTGGAGAAACACGTGAGACTTGTATGGTGAGAGCATATATGATATTGATGATGATAAAAGAGAAATTAGAGGAAATAATAGATGAAAAACTAAAAGAAAAGGCATTGGTGCATTGTTACTATTGTTTTGCTAAGAGATGACATTTTATTGGTTGCTGGAGAACTCACTGCTCTCTACTAATGTTTGGCACGCTTAGAACACTATATTAAATTTTTTGAAGGATAAAAAGAGTCGCACTAGACAAAGTAAAGGATGATACATGGTCAAATTTTACATTAGGCAAGTAAATTTTGGAACTGAGTTGTTGAAGTGTTCAGAAAAATTGTTTGTAGAGATGTGTGTAGTTTGTAGAGTTGATTAGATAGTGTGTGTGTGTGTAGTGGCTTCCTTTTTATAAGCTTAAAGTGGTAGTTTTTTCTTTGACTCCACCTTTAAATTAAGACTACTAGCTGCAATTTTTCCTAAAACTTCCTTTACTTCTACTTTTAATTGGTGCATTGCTTGACTAACTCTTTTCATAACTTCCTCCTTTCTAGAAGACTTTGGTGGACTTTTAGCCCAAATAGTTAGGCTTGAGTCACAAATTGGATTTTAGCCTAAATGATCAGGCTTGGACAAAAAAAAAAAATCATATTTTAATCCAAATAATTACCCCCGAAACAAATGTGGCCAAGTTCATCATAGGCCAAATTTGTATAAATACTTGAATTGTTCCATCTTTTAGTTATTCCTAACGTATGTGACATGGAACTTGGGGAGCCAGCTTAAGGAGCTAGCTCCTTTTCAATGAAAGGCTTTAGGTGTGAATCTTGCTCTCAATTTAATTCCTAAGGCGTGAAGTTCACCTTTGGTTCATTAGTCCAAGATAGTTGGGTACTCTCAAAGAGTTCCCCTTGGGCTCTTCATTTATAGTTGGTTTTGAAGGCTATAAGTCAATCTCTAACTTATCATCCTTACAGAACTCAAACTTGGAGTCATCAAAAAGACGGTCCTCAAGCTTTTCAAATAAGCTAGGTTCTAAAGGTCAAGAGTCGGCCTCTGGTTCATCATCCTTGCCAAGCTTATCGTTTGAGTCATAAGAAGAGTGCCTCTCAAGCTTTTTGGATATTCTTGGTTTCAAAGGCCAGGAGTCAACCTCTAACTCATCATCTTCATAAAGTTCATCCTCGAAGTCACAAGATGACTACCCCTTGAGCTCTTTTGATATGCTCTTAAGGGATTCATCGTAACTCTTGAGAGATTCTTCTTTTAGTTGAGCTCTCTGATTTATTTGCAAGCATTTTTTTCTTGAAGTGTTTGTGGCAAAGCTGGGTCTCAAACTTGTCAATCTCAGCTCTATATAGCATATCTTGCTCAAAACATTTACAATACTCAACTATAGCTATGATGAATTGTCCTTGAGCATATTGGATCATTGCTTAATGCTCTCTGATATGTTGCAAAGTTCCTAATATCTATTTAGGGTTCTAATGCGTGGCTAGAAAGCTAGGTTGCACCTCAGAGCTCTATTCACCATACTTGTTCATAGATTGTAATGGAGTTGACTGGTGTACTATGCTTATAGTATCACATTCCAAATCCTAAGATTTGGAATAATTTTTATTATTTTTCATTCAAGAGTGTGGTTTCATACTGGTCTATAAGAATGTGGTTCCATTTTGGCTGGATCCATGACTCTTT